GGAGAAATTTTGTGGATAAAAATTAGCATAGTTTAAAAAAATCTGCTAGGTGTGGTGGAACAAGCCTTTAATCCCAGAACTTTGGAAGCAGAGGCAGGCAGATCTCTTTGAGTTCAAGGCTAACCTTGTCTACATAGTGAGTTCCAAGACAGCCAGAGCCATATAGTGAGACTGTGTCTTGAAAAAACTAAAAAGAATCATTACTTTGTTTGTACAAGTGTTTTGCCTGCGTGTATGTCTGTGTACTATAGGCATACAGTGCCTATGGAGTGGGATTCAGATTCCTGGGGCTGGAGACAGTGATGAGCTATCACGTAGGTGTTGGTTAAGTGGCAGCACTCGTGGCTGGTTGCTGCCTGCAGCAGCCATGCCAACAGAAGAGAGTGCTGGATGTATCGGTGACGGTGACTGACGGTGACGTGAGCCATGGATCCCTTTCTAGAGCTTTATTGGGAGAGGAAAGGAGTGGGAGGGAGAGGGAGGGAGAGGGAGGGAGGGAGGGAGGGAGGGAGGGAGGGAGGGAGGGGGAGAGGGAGAGGGAGAGAGAGAGAGACCAAGACCACGCGAAGGGGGCAGAGTATGGAAGGAGAGAGTGCACAAGAGAGGGCACGCCCGCTTTTTAGGCTGGGGTGCCGACTTCATCGCAGGCTAGTGATGTAATTAAGGACATAATCCTTACAGTAGGTACTGAGGGGTTGAACCCTGGCCCTCTGAAAAGCAGCTGGTGCTCTTAATCACTCAGCCATTGCTCCAACCCCACATGGCTTTCTTTCTTTAAATGAAGGTCCTCATCCTTGCAAGACAAGCACCTTACAAACTGAGCTACCTCCCCAGGCCTTATAATGTTTTCTTAATTGCTTCATGTACTCATATGTTGATGACTTTATGAGCTGGTAGTACCAAGTATTTATTAGTTTTATTCCCACTTGAAAGTGTAAAGGTTACATTTGACCAAATAACAGATTTAGCACTTAGTAAAGTATAAAGTACTTCCAGTTACTTAGAGGTCATAATTTTACCATTAATAGCATTCACTTCTGCAAACAAACACTTAAACGTAACCTCAAAAAACAAATTTACAAATCAGAGGTGGTAACTCATGCCTGCAATCCCAGAACTAAGAAGGCAGAAGCAAAATTAAAAGCTACAGTGAAACTGTCTGAGAAAACAAAAACCAAAACATTAGGATGGCATCAAAACCCAAAGGTACCTATTAATGTACAAGATTTCCACACAGAATCCAGCAATTTAATAATGGCATCGAAAGAGAAAACAGACTACCAAGCCCATCAAATGTATGTCTGTATATGGGTATGAATAAAAGGATGCCTCAGTGGGTAAGAGTGCTTGCTGCTTCTGCAGATGACCAGTTTGGTCTTGGCACCCATCCATGGTGTTGGTAGTGGGGTAGAAGAGATAAAAAGCTCACAACAGCCTTCAGCTCCAGGGAACCCTACACCCTCCTCTGACTACTGTAGGCAGGTACATACACATACACATACACATACACATACACATACACACATACATACAGAGAGAGAGAGAGAGAGAGAGAGAGAGAGAGAGAGAGAGAGAGAGAGAGAGAATAAACCTTTACAAATAAAACACAATTTACAAAGGACTTTAGCTGCCAGAATAGCCCTGACACTGGTTGGGTTTTTGTCACCTTGACAAAGCTAGACGGGCTCTGTGAAGTGGAACCTCAACTGAGTCAAGGCCTCCATCGGACTGTCTATAGGCAAGTCTGCAGGGCATTTTCTTCATAATGGCAATGTGAGAGGACCCAGCCCACTGGGAGTGGTGCCTCCCCTGGGCAGGTGGTCCTGCGGTGTCCAAGAAAGCAAACTGAGGAAGACAGACAGGGGAGTAAGCCATTAATCAGCATTCCTCTGTGGCTTCTGCTTCAGGTTCCTGCCCTGACTTAACTCAGTGATGAATTGCGACCCTGACAGTTGTTAGATAAATAAGCCCTTTCCTCAAGTTGCTTTTTATCCTGGTGTTTCACCACAGCAACAGAAACCCTAAGACAGAAGCTGGCACTAGCAGTGGGGTACTGCTGTGACAGACCTGACCATGTTCTGCGGAGGGTTGTCCAGAGGCTTTGGGCTAGAAAACTGAGTGTTCACAGCTTACTAAGCTATTGTAGGAACTTTGAAAACAGTGGTGAAAGCAGCACAGAGTGGAGGTGAGGCAAGGCTTGTCAAGTTTCAGAGGCAAGCTCCGAGTCCCTTAAAGGCTCCATCAGGACCATTGAATAGTTTGCATTAAGAATATGGGTTCAGCCGGGCATGATGGCACTAATCTTTAATCCCAGCACTTGGGAGGCAGAAGGATTGGCCTACACAGTGAGTTCTGAACAGCCAGGGCTATGTAGAGAAACCATTTCAAAAAGAAATACAAAAATCTTGCCAGGTGGTGGTGGCACACTCCTTTAATCCCAGCACTCAGGAGGCAGAGGCAGGTGGATCTCTGAGCCTAGTCTACAGAGTGAGTTCCAGGACAGCCAGGACCAAATGGAGAAACTCTGCCTAAAATAAAAATAAAAATAAAAATAAAAATAAAAATAAATAAAATAAAAATTGGAATCGGGGTTCTGATCTGCTGAAGCTAAAAAACCAGCTATATATAAAGCAACCAGCAACACTGAGTTGAAATCGTCTGGGAAGTGTTTCCTCGGGTCAGCATACTCTTAGTGCAGAGAGGGCCAAAGCTGTATGTCTTCACGCTGGCAGCTGAACTTGGTATTGTGGGAATGGTTTTAAAAGTATGGTCATGAAGTACAACTGAGGCTTGGCACTATGAGGGGCCAGGAAAAGCTACTGGTAATGATACAGCCTCAGCTGTAGAAGCAGCCCCAGGACTGAGGGGGTCATGGGGGAAAGCTGAGGTTCTGATACCATGTAGCCAGGTCAAAGTCCCTGAAGAGAGGTCAGGAGAGGGGCAGCAGAGATCCCAGCATTTGGGACACCAGCACTATGGGATGATCACCAAAGACAGTGGTGGGGTGGAGCTGGCCTGAACCTCGAATACAAGCTGTGTGCTGTACAAGGTAAAGCACAGGAAGTAGAGCTACCCAACCCCTTGTAGCCCAGAAGATCGATCCTGAGTGCCCAGTGTCCGACACTGAGTATACACTGTTGGACTTGGTTGTGCTTTGACTGTGCTCTGGTTCTTCTCTCTTAGCATAAGGAAGTATAAAATGTATTTTTTATTTTACAGGAACAGAGTTGAGACTTCGGGTTTTAAAGACAGATGTAAAGATATAATAACAATCTATAGAAATTAAAACATGTACCCAAATAAAAGAAAAAGCAACCCTAAAAATTAGAAGACACTAATCAATACAGGGGTAGGAAAATGTTCCAGTGAAGCTAAACAGAAAGCCCACAAACTAATAACGAAGACCATATACTTTATAAAAGATGGTAGCACAAAACACTAGGGATGGAAATGATCGCTTTAAAAGTGCTTAACAGAGGCAAGAGAGGCGGCTCAGCAGTTAAGAGCATTTGCAGTCTTGCAGAGGACCTGAGTTCAATTCTCAGCACCCACATGGCAGCTAACTCTAGCTCCAGACAATCTGGCCTCCATAGCCACCTGTACTCACACAGGGCATACACACATGTAAACAGACACATACATGCACATAAATAAAAATAATGTAATGTTTTAAGAGAAAGATATAAAACAGGAAAATGACTCAGCTGATAAAGGCACTAGCTGCCAAGTAATTTTGATCCCTGGCACTCATATGGCAGGAGAGAGTTGACTCCAATAAGTTGTCCTCTGATCTCCATATGCACACACAAATATATGTGCAGGCACACACACCAAATAAATACAATGTAGGAAATAGCCTAAGCAAAAGCTGGGCTGGGGTTGGCCACCCACCCGTAATTCTAGTATAGAGGGAAGCAGAGACAGCAGGTCCCCTGAACAAGCTAGCTCCAGGTACAATTCAAAGACCCGCCTCAATGAATCAAGTGGAGAGCCTCTGAGAAAAACTCCCAACTTCAACCTCAGGCCTCTATATGCAAGAGCATGCATGTGGCTTGGGCACTCACACATTAACACTCACACAATATTTTTTCAAAGGATAAGATATTTAGGAATTAACCAAGGATGTGAAAACCTTGCACTTTCACTGGTGAAATGAATTAGGATACAAACACACCCATGTCCATGCACCAAAACTTTCATAGTCAACAATGTCAATACCACCCACGGTGCTCTACAATTATGTCTTATGTACCTCATGTCCATGCAATCTGCAACTTTTTCTGTTCATTTCTTTGGAGGTACTGTCTCACTACATATCCCTGCCTTGTCTAGATAGAACTCTCTATCTAGACCTGGCTACCCTCAAACTCAGGGTGCTTGGGTTTTTAAAGGTGTACACCACCGGGCCCAGCCTTGTATAGTTCCTAATTCTTACAGGCAGGAGATTTTTGAGTTCAGCTGGACTGAACCACATGTTGAATTCCAGGCTTCCTAAAGTACCAAGACCTATCTCAACCAGCTAAAAGTGGGGGAAGGGCGTCCTACAATGGAATGGTGTGGTTGCTCCAGTGAAGGTAGGCTTCCCATTCCTTCTACCTGGAGTGCTGAGATTTGACTCCAAGGCCTCTCATTTGCTAGGTAAGTACTCCACTGAGCTACATCCAACAGGAAAACATTTTTTGAGCACCAAGAAAATTCATTTTTTTTTGAGGGGGGGGGACGCTTCACGAATTTGCGTGTCATCCTTGCGCAGGGGTCATGCTAATCTTCTCTGTATCGTTCCAATTTTAGTATATGTGCTGCCGAAGCGAGCACTCTTTTTTTTTTTAAATTGCTGAAGTCAACTAATGCTTCCCCCCCCCCCTCCCCAGAGCTGAGGACCGAACCCAGGGCCTTGTGCTTGCTAGGCAAGCGCTCTACCACTGAGCTAAATCCCCAACCCCCAACTTATGCTTTTAACAACTCTCATCTAAAAAGTATCAAATTAAGACAGATAGAGTAGTGCATGCCTGTTAATTCCAGAACTAAGTTGGAGACCAGCCTGATTCACAGAGTTCCTGGACAGCCAGGGCTACACAGAGATACTCTGTCTCAAACAAGCAAACAAACAAAAAAGTAGAAAGGGAAGTAGTTAACCTGCAATTCATTATTAAATACATATTACTAAGGCAAAAACTTATTTTCATCTACCCAATTTTAGCTAATAACTCAGCATAACCCAACCTTGTTGCTGATTTTCAATATCTGGAACCGTGTTTTATGTATCTCTTGGATTTATTCAACATTAAACATCTGATTATCATACAATTATTTAGTGTTTGCTGATGTTTGACAACAACCACTAGAGGTCACCAGCATAGAACTTTCAATATTGCCGGCTGGTGGTGGCACAAGCCTTTAATCCCAGCACTCGGGAATCAGAGGCAGGCGGATCTCTGTGAGTTCGAGGCCAGCCTGGGCTACAGAGTGAGATCCAGGACAGGTTCCAAAGGTACACAGAAAAACCCTGTCTCAAAAAACCAGGAAAAAAACAAAAACATATTGATTCAAGCAGCATCAGTCTAAACTTGATTCACAATTACTTATCTCCCTTTCCAAGTGCCCTTTACTAAAACAAGGTTCAGTTGTAAATAATTTCAGAATAGTCAAGTGACACGGTGACACAGAAAGTGAATACTCTCCCCCTCCCCCATACACACAGTATATGTCCAATCTCATGTGATACCGAGGATGGAACTCCCTTGAGGTTCCATTCACGCACACTAAGCAAGCCAATTATATCCTCGAATGAACATTTTTCTTGTTGAACAATGTTGCAAACTGCTGTTTTCTACTTTGTAAATACAGGAATAATCTTACACATGCAATTCATTTTTTTTTTAATATTTTAAGTTCATGGATTTATTTTTAGGTATATGACACTGCTTTGCTCACAGAGATCAGAAGAGGACCTGGATCCTCTTGAACCTGAGTCCTCTGAAAGAGCAGCCAGTATTCTTAACCATGGAGCTGTCTGTCTCTCCAGCCCCATAATTTCTGATACAATCTTAGCCTAGAAGTATTTGTTTTCTTTTTGATATTCTACTTTAAAATAAGGCAAAGTTGTTTTATATAGTTAAAGGGAAATTCATTTGATCCAAATAAGTATGTTTGTAATTTCAGAGACTTTACTACTTACTCAATACTAATTCAGAACACTAATGATCAAAATTAAGAACATATTTGAAATATCTGAGACCCTGAACATGAGTAAGACTAAAGAACTGTAAATTTTAGGAGTCAGGTATTTCTACTTAGATTTTGTGCTCGAGTGTATAAAATTTCAATCAGTGTTTATTCATGTAACCAATTTAAAAATATCCAGGGGGGTTAAAAAAAATGAACACAGTCTCTATACTTAAGAAAGTGAGCCATGGTGTACCCTGTCATCACACTATGAAGAATGAGACATGAGGATTGCCAGGTTTACACTACATAGTTGCAAGCTAGCCAGAGCTACAAACCCTGCAGAAGTCTCTCTCACTTGATACACAACCAATCACACTGCAGGCATTTCAAGATACCCTAGCCTTTAAGTCTCTACAATTCCATGACCTCTTCCCATAAGAATGGCCTAAAAAAGGTTAAGTTTACTCCTTCACATAAAAAAAAGTATAAGAATTTAAAATTTACCAATTAATAAAATCACTGCCTTAATTGCTTTTCTACTGCTGTGATAAGACACCAAGACCAAGGCAGCTTTACAGAACCAAGTGTTTAATTTGGGCGTGTGGTTTCAGAGGTGAGAGTCTATGACGGAGTAAAGGAATGGCAGCAGAACACCCGAGATTACATTTGGATCCCCAAGGAGGGAGAACACTGGCAGTCTTGAAAACCTCAAAGCCCGACAACACTGACCACCAAGGCCACATCTCTTAATCCTTCCCAAACAGTTTCACCAACTGAGGAACAAGTCTTCAAATATGAGTTTATGGGGGGAGGCGGTATTCTATTCAAACCACCACAATCACAAATTAATTCTTTTTGTGAGGGGTAGATTTTAAACACCTCAGGAAGAAAATAGCCAGATCACTAACCACTAATTAAAACCACTTCGAAATATAAACTTTCATGGAATGCACTGTTCTCATAACTTGGACAGCTGAACTTGCACTACTCCTTCAAGACTAACAGAAACCTAATAATCTGAACAGCCATTTAGAAAAGTCCTACAAGACTTATCTTTTATCCAACTCTTTTTTTAATTGCACTTATTTCTTTCCTATATATGTGAGAGAGTGCACAAGCAGTACAAGGCAGCTGTGGTAGTCAGAGGACACCTGAGGGAGTTGGTTCACTCCACCATGCAGATCCTGGAGATCAAATTCAGGTCATCAGGTCTCTTAGCAAGTGACTTGACTCCATCTCAATAGCCCTTTCCAACTACCCCACACTCCTTAAAAATGAGTATTTATTTTATGTTCTATCTGTTTTTGTTTTCTGTTTGGGGCAGCAAACCCAGGAACTTAAACTACTTCAGCAGCCCTCATCTTTTCACTCTGCTTTTTCTTTGAAGGTGCTATCTCTTTATTGTCTCAGTCCACACCTGGCCCAGCAGTGCCCCCATCAGCAGCCTCTAGTCCAGTGGAGATCTTGGTGGTGGTCTCCGGACAGTCAGTGTGAGGGAGGGAGGGATCAGCAGAGGCCACAGATGCCTCTGGGCTGTTTGAGTAACAGCACTGGTCCCCTCGCTGACAGGTACCATCCTTGAATCGTTTGCAAGGAAATATCCTGAGGCAGCTGCCCCCTGGGCTGGCTCCTTCTACTTCTTCTGTAGCAGCCCCCACCTCTCCTACAGACCTTTTACTTGCAGCTTTGCCCTAAGACTGGACACGGGGCCAGGTACCCCAGTTGGCTTCTGGACTGGCCTGGACGTGCTTGAGTCCTTGCTGGCGGAGCTGGGTTTGGAGTATTCCCAGATGTTGAAGTTGGCCTTCAGCCTGGGCTTCATAGCGAGAATTCAGAATGCTGGGCTGCTTTCTGACAGTGCTCCCGTTTCAGTGGACAGTCTTCCCAGCATGATGTCCCAGAAAGCTGGGGGAGCTAGTGGGGGGGACGACAGGACACACATCTGTCTTCACTGCATTTTTAAAGGCATGGGAGAGAGACCCCGAAGCCAGGGTGAAGGAAAGCTGACTTAAGCTGCAGAAAGCAGTGTGTGTTGCAGTAGAGGGTGCTGCTCGGTTGGTCCAGTGTGTAGTAGAGAGGAACAATGGGAAGTTCCTCGGTACCAACAATCACCTTGGATTCACTTAGAGGTGTGGATGCAGTCAGGATTAGTGGTAACTGTACACAATGTCCTGCTCAGGTCACTTGAGGACAATAGGCTGCAGTAAACTTGACCTTGCCACCAGGGTCTCCCAAGGCACTGCAGGCACAAGGCTCCACAACCCACACACTGGAACACATGCCTGCTTGCTGAGGATTTAACCTCTGCCTGGCCTGTGAAGATGAGCACAAAAAAAAAAACAGACACAGAAGTCAGCACTGAAGCTGAGCAATGGCACCATGTAGCGCTGGTAGCAGTTGGCATGTAGATGCACGCTATGCCAAACAATTCTCAGGGCCATTTTATCGCAGGCCCAGCTCTTGGGGGCCAGGACTCCACGCTTGCTGTAGCACTGTTCTCTGCTGTTCCCAGCCAATACTACCATGTCTGTGCAGGTGACACACACCAGTCCTCCATCATTGATAGCCTGCACTGCTGCATCCAGGAAGTGGACGGTCTGCCATAGGGGTCCAGATAAATGACATCAAAACACTCAGAGGCCTTTTGGTGTTGGCACATCAGCATCCAGGCATCTGCTTGGTTGGGCTATACAAGATGTGCCACACCACTGAGCTGCACATTTCAGTGTGTAAGCACTACAGCCCAGGCAGAAGAATCATTGGCAACCCGACTGGAGGCCAGGAACTCAGGGCAAATCAGATGGAGTATAGACCAGAAGCTGTCAGGCCTTCCAGCACTTGTAGACCTTCCTCACAGATCTCACCAACTGCAGCTGCCAGCCAACTACAGTTGTCAGAGTAGGTCTCTAAGGATCAGGGTTTCATTCTCTTTCTGTTCGACCTTTTCCTCTTGTTCAGACAAGTCCTCAGCACTTTTTGCAAGACCTTTTCTCCTGACACCTTGATCTGGATTCCCTTGACCTGATGAATCAAGCAAATTCAATGATCACTGCACATCTCTCTGCTCACAGGACCCATCAAGTCACTGTGCATGCTTCCCACATTAGGGTCTGGAAATGGCCATGTTGGCAGAGAGGGTGGGCCTGTCCAGTCACATGACCTTCTGCTCTCACTTTGCTTTTTAAAGAGTTTCTGACTAATGTCCAATATTCAGGATGACCTTGGAGATATTCCTGCTTCAACTTCCAGAGACTTGAAATTGTAGGCACATGCCACACAAAGATGGCGCACTGTAATCCTAGCACATGGTAGGCAGAGGCAGACAGATCTCTGTGAGTTCCAGGTCAGCCTGGTCTACAAAGCAAGTGTCAGAACAGCCAGAGCTACACAGAGAAATCCTGTCTCAAGAGAAAAAACAAAAAAAAAACAAAAACCCAAACAAACAAACAATCTCTCCAGTCCCTTCTTAAAAATACAACGACCGGGGCTGGAGAGATGGCTCAGTGGTTAAGAGCACTGACTGCTCTTCCAGAGGACCCGGGTTCAATTCCCAGCACCCACATGACAGCTCACAACTGTCTGAAACTCCAGTTCCTGGAGATCTGACACTGTTATACCAATGCACATAAAATAAAGTTAATAAATTATTTTAAAAAAAAAAATACGACCACGTGATACAACAATCGTACCTCTTGGCTTAATCCAGAAATGAAAACATAGTCTCAGTCAGACATCTGTACAAGTTCACAGCAGCACTGTTCACAAAAGCTAAGTAGAAGAAGCAATTCAAATGTCCACCAACAGATTAACGTGTGTGTGTGTGTGTGTGTGTGTGTGTGTGTGAACATATACAATGGAATATTATTCCACTATGGTAACACAGGTCTGTGATCCTAGCACTTGAAAACAGATCAAAAGTTCAAGGTCATCCTCAGCTACAAAGTCAATTCAAGGCCAGCCTGGGCTACATGAGAATCTGTCACACACATGTGTGAAGTAGGAAGGGAGGGAGGAAGGGAGAGAGAACACAGTAATAAAAGGAAATTTTGGCAAATGACACAACACATGGTTGAACCTTGAGGACAGTGTAAGTACAAGGGAGTCACAAGAAAAATACGGTGCCGTATACTTACATGATGCATCTAGAGTGGTCAGATTTACGCAGACACAGCACATTAGAAAACTAATTCAGAAACAGAAAGTAGAATGAGGGATGGCAGGAGCTGGGGAGAAAGAGGAAATACTCCAGGGCTAGTTGTGTAACAGGATGAGATACTTATACCACCAAGCTGTGTATTTAGAATGATGGTGAATTTTGATAGGTTATGGGAGCATATGCATGTAATCCCATTCCTAGAGATGCAAGGGAATCATGAGTCCAAGACCAAACTTGGCTTCATGGACAGACCCTGTCTCAGAAAGCAAAAATAATCAAACAGTAACAATGATTCTTCTAAGGTTGGAATGTTTGGGCTTCTGATTAACTCATGACAAAACATGTCATTTTCCTGCCTTTTATTATAAAACAATTATTCCACATTAGAAATCAATTTAACTTTACTTAAATTTTATTTTTAAACTACCTATTATTAGTATCCTTAATATTAGTCCTCAACAATCAAAGGACTATTACTTGACATGAACATTAAATTCAAATGCAAACTGATGCAAGCAACAGTAATGATACAGATGGTCTGCAGTTCTGCACTAGACATATAATATTGATTTAATTCTCACATATACTCAGACTTCTTATACTGATTCAGCCAGCAAATGGTGAAGAGTTTCCATTACCTGATCACTCAGTCATTAGGAGATGTTTCCAAAGTTAAAAGTGAAATTCTCTTCCTGAAAAGTTAAAAATAAATCATCCAAAATGTTATCCCTCCAGAAACTACTTGTTGGTACTAAAGTATCTGTATACTGTTTAACATTGTTCCTAGGAACAAGATGATTCCAAAAGCCATTTAAAAAAATTACTCAGTTTTAGAAGAACTCCAATACTCTTTTCTTAGGAAAATTATAGAAAATTATAGAAAATCAAGTGAAGAAATAAGATACTGATCTCAGGTACACTAAACTAGACATCTAGACATACATATTGGAATCCCTACTTATCACTAACTAGCTCTTGTTAAATGTGAAGGCTGAATTGGTTGTCTTTTTAAGATACATTGACAACAGGGCTAGAAAGATGGCTTAGTGAGTACCACCAACCGACCACCTGAGTTTTGTCCTGGAACCCCTATGGTGGAAGGAGAGAACCAACTCCCAGGCTGTCTTTTGTCTGTCTGTCTGTCTGTGTCTGTCTTTGTCTCTGTCTCTCTCTCTCATACACACACACATACATACACACACATCCCCCCTCACCAGAGTACGTGCATGACCACATACATACACAAATAAATACATATAAAAACTTAATGATACGCTAACTAAATTCATCTTCTACAATTATGATTTTAGGATTGTATTGTGACATTTCCAATGTTGAAATGGTTAATTCATTTATACACATTAAGATCAAAACAGCCTTGTCAAAAATGCCTTAGTAATACCATCCACCCATCTTGAGGGTATACAACTTGAAAGCAAGGTAGAGACAGTTCAGCAAGTAGAGATACCTGTGAGCAGGCCTGATCCCAGGTCCCAACAGCGGGAGAGTTGTCCTTTCACACACACACACACACACACACACACACCCGTACGCACATGTAAAAATGTGTAACACTCTATGCCTGTATGAGTATCAATCTTTTTTCTTTGCTGTTTGGAGGCAGGGTTTCTCTGTGTGGCCCTGGCTGTTGTTGTCCTGGAACTCTCAGACCCACCTGTCTCCGCCTCCCAAGTGCTGGGATTAAAGGAGGGCACCAACACGCCCTGCCATCAAATACTCTAAAAAACAAAAACACACAACTTGAGAGAACTCTATTCTACAGCTTTCTCTTGAGAAGTACTAATTCATTATAGAAGAAAATCAGGTGTAATCATACATGCCTCTAATCCCAGGTTAAAGCAGAAAGATCAAAAGTTCAACGCCAACCTAAGATGGTTACACAGAGACTGTCTCAAAAAAAAAAAAAAAAAAAAAAAAAAAAGTTTTGTTGTTGTTTTTAAAGGCCATGACTGGTGATAGAGACCCATTACCACCCACTGAAGAGGCTGCCACAGGAGAATCAGAGGTCAGGCCTGTCTGGGCTACAGAGTGAGTCCAAGGTCAGCCTGGGCACTTTAGTGACACCCTATCTCAGAATAAGAAGAGGACTGCAGCACTCGGGAGGCAGAGGCAGGCAGATCTCTGTGAGATCGAGACCAACCTGGGCTACCAAGTGAGTTCCAGGAAAGGTGCAAAGCTACACAGAGA